AGGTCCATAGATACGAGAAGGATTGTTGCAGTAATTGCCTTTCTGGGATGCCGAAGTCTAAAATCAAGAGAAGAAACTAATGGAATGGGTCTATTGGCCAACGTGGAAGCCTGCGATGTGGGAGTGTGAGCGAATGGCCTCTGCTAAGGGTTCTATCAAAGATTAAAAATTGAGGGGGACAGTGGGTCTAGAAAGGAGATTAGATGTGTATACCTGATATTGAACAAGCATCCTGCCAGCAGTTTAGCATAAATTTTAACATCTGTATTGAGCAAAGAGATGGGTCTAAAGTTTGCCAGAGAGGTCCGGTCTTTACCCGGTTTTTTTCAGCATCTCTGGGGGAAAGGAAGCCTGGGGCATAGTGTCATGAAAAACCAGGCTCAGATTTAGAGCCAATTGAGCTTTGAAAAGTTTATAATGGTCATTAGTGAACCCATCAGTCCCCGGAGCCTTCTTGATAGGGAGGGAATCTATAACTTTGAATGCCCCCTTCACCGAAATTTAAATTGTCAAAGTAGAGGAAGAGAATGCTCCTCAGATAAGGAGAGGAGCTGAAGCTGAGCCAAGAAGTCACCAATAACCTGAGCATTAGGTGGGGGGTGAGTGGATCATTTTTCAGATTATATAGAGTACTGTAATAATCTGCGAAGGAGTTGGCGATTTCCTGGGGATTGGTGATTTTTATGATTGGTGAGAGGGTGCAAGAGATGGGATATTTTAGAAGTAGCCCTATGCGACTTAAGTCAGTTAGCTAAGAGTCTCCCAGCTCGATTGCCATTGGAGTAGTGTTCGAACAGTATGATAAGATATCAAGAACCTTTAAAATCAAACAGAAGCCCTCTCAATTCAAGTCTAAGGTTGTGTAGGGCAGAGGCACAAGTTGGATCAAAGTGAGCCTTCTTGTCCACTTCAAGCTAAGGAATACTGTCAAAGATTGAGTTCAAGCGAAGGTTATAGTGCTTCTTGGCTCTAGCGCAAAGCTGAAGTATTACACCCCTCATATAAGCCTTATGGGCATTCCAAATTAAGAAGTTGTCAGAAGAGGCAGAATTTGTTTCGAAATAGTCCTGGAGATGCTGAGAGCAGTGACACATTGGCAGGAACATTGATAATTTTAGAATTGTAACGCCAAAGGCGTCTCGGATAACAGGGCTCCATCTCCTCCATGGGCAGAGATATAGCTGCATGGTCCAACCAGGTGATGTCAGAGATAGAGGAGACCTGTTGAAGCAACCATTTATCCGTCAAAAACACATCAATGTGGGAATATGTGGCATGTCTGAAAGAGAAAAATGTGAAATCCTTCTCAGAGGCATGTTGGCAGCGCCAGACGTCGAACAGATCTTCAGAATATAATAGTGAGTGGAGAGCAGGAGTCGATTTCTTCGAGGACTTGGACAAGTCCATGGAAGGGTCCACTGTTAAATTAAAGTCTCCACAGAGGAGCAAACGGCCATACTTATTGTTGTCCACCTTCTGGAGGAGGGAAAAACCCCTCCAATTTCCTGGGTGCCTGGGCTTCTTTTTTCCGTCGGGGCATTCCGAGGGTCCCCCCGGTAAGTGAGGAGGACAGTGGAGGAGTGTAGGGACGTCCACAAATCTTTGTGCGATGCGATCCCCCAGCTGTGGAGCGGAGCTGTCAGCGACCATTTTGCAGTGTGGTCACCACGCATCCTCTGTTACGAAATCCTTTAATATCCATATTATACGAATTAAAACTGACCCCCAGATGGCAGTGTGTCATTTTGGTGTGTAAAATATTGAACACGTCTCACAATAGTGAGTTTATATGTTCCCCCTCCATTTTTCCTTTTAGTTTTGGAGAATATTTTGTCTACCGCATTTCTGTGGCTGAAAGTTCTCTGTTACTCCTGGGAGACTTTAAAGTTGTTTCTGATGTGGCTTTGGACTGTCAGGGAGGTGCTCATGGGGCTTCCCCTTCCCTTTAGGGTGGCTGGAGAGCTACGCACTTATTGATGTTTGGAGCCGCAGACACCCAGGTATTAGGCAATTCTCCTGCTATTCTGAGACTCATCGTACACACTCTCTCTCGTATTGATATGGTCCTGTCCCCATTAGGACATTATTCGCACTGGTCATTGAACCATTGGCTGCAAAATTAAGAAGTTGATGTCAAGGGTCTGTGTATAGGAGAATTTGAAGAGCGAGTGTCACTGTACGATGATGATATGCTATTATACTTAAATGATCCTGGCTGCTCACTATCTGCAACCGTCTTGATTATTCAGGATATGGTCCTGTCCACATTAGATGGGGTCTCTGTGATACAGAGTCTGAAATATTTGCCACGTGCCTTTTCTGATCATTCACCTATAGAAGTTGGTCTGCTATTGGGTACACATCCTGGGATTAAACATTAGCTTATGAATGCATATTGGTTACAGGAAGAATATGTGAAACTTAATTGTGTTGGCTATAAATCAATATTGGGTAGAAAATAGCAGGGATACTGATCTTTATACACAGTGGGAGGCATTTAAGGCTACTCTTCAAGGAGCATTTATGAAAACCGTTTTTCCAGAGCTTTGGAGGTGGACAATGCACAGGCAGGGGCATGGGTAGCCATGGCGGAGTGCTCATTTGTGAGTGATCCATCTCCATCAAACTCTGGAGAGTGGCAAGAGTGTTTCACGTACATATCGTTTGCTTTTAGCAGAACAATCTAGTAAAAAATGTATTGCATCAACGTAGACAAATTTTTTGAACATGGAGACTAAAATGGTCGTCTCTTGGCTTTTTTAGGAAAACCAGCTGTAACAGCGTATACCCAGAGACTGACGCAGTCCTCCATTTTGTTAAGAATCTCCATGTTGTCCCTCATTTTTTTCCCCCTTTCCGCTTTGTTAATCCACAGGGACATACAGTGGGGATCGAAAGTTTGGGCACCCCAGCTAAAAATTTGTATTAATGTGCATAAAGAAGCCAAGGAAAGATGGAAAAATCTCCAAAAGGCATCAAATTACAGATTAGACATTCTTATAATATGTCAACAAAAGTTAGATTTTATTTCCATCATTTACACTTTCAAAATAACAAAACAAAAAATGGTGTCTGCAAAAGTTTGGGCACCCTGCAGAGTTAATATCTTGTACTGCCCCCTTTGGCAAGTATCACAGCTTGTAAACGCTTTTTGTAGCCAGCCAAGAGTCTTTCAATTCTTGTTTGAGGTATCTTTGCCCATTCTTCCTTACAAAAGTCTTCCAGTTCTTTGAGATTTCTGGGCTGTCTGTCACGCACTGCTCTTTTAAAGGTCTATCCATAGATTTTCAATTATGTTGAGGTCAGGAGATTGTGAAGGCCATGGCAAAACCTTCAGTTTACGCCTCTTGATGTAATCCCCCGTGGATTTCGAGGTGTGTTTAGGATCATTATCCATTTGTAGAAGCCATCCTCTCTTTAACTTCAGCTTTTTCCCAGATGGCATCAAGTTACCATCCAAAATTTGCTGAAATTTTATTGAATCCATTTTTCCTTCTACTCGTGAGATGTTCCCTGTGCCACTGGCTGCAACACAACCCCAAAGCATGATGGATCCAACCCCAAGCTTAACAGTTGGACAGAGGTTCTTTTCATTAAATTCTGCGCCCCTTCTTCTCCAAACGTACCTTTGCTCATTCCTGCCAAAAAGTTCAATTTTAACCTCATCGGTCCACAGAACTTGTTTCCAAAATGCATCAGGCTTGTCTATATGTTCATTTGCAAAGTTGAAACGATGATTTTTGTGGTGAGGACGTAGAAGAGGTTTTCTTCTGATGACTCTTCCATGAAGACCATATTTGTACAAGTATCTCTTTATAGTGGAATAGTGTACCACAACTCCAGTGTCTGCCAGATCTTTCTGGAGGGATCGTGCAGTCAAATGTGGGTTTTGAATTGTTTTTCTCACAATGCTACGAGCTGTTCTGTCTGATATTTTTCTTGGTCTTCCAGATCTTGCTTTAACTTCCACTGTTCTTGATGACTGCCATTTCTTAATTACATTCCGAACAGAGGATATTGACATCTGAAAACGCTTTGCTATCTTCTTATAGCCTTCTCCAGCTTTGTGAGCGTCAACTGTTTTCAGTTTCAGTTTTCTAGACAACTGCTTAGAAGAACCCACGGTGCTGATTGTTGGGGCAAGGTCAGATGAGTCTGGGCATTTAAAACCTTTGAGATTGACATAACCTGGTATTCCCAGACGATGATTGAGAACAATCCATGACACTGGCAGGTCTCAGCTTTGCAAAGGGGGCAGTGCATGCTATAAATTCTGCAGGGTGTCCAAACTTTTGCCAGACGCCATTTTTTTGTTTTCTGTTATTTTGAAAGTGTAAATGATCGAAATAAAATCTAACTTTTGTTGACATAAGAATGTCTAATCTGTAATTTGATACCTTTTGGAGATTTTTTCCATCTTTCCTTGGCTTCTTTATGCACATTAATACAAATTTTTAGCTGGGCTGCCCAAACTTTCTATCCCCACTGTATGTGTGTTGGAAGGGTCTCAGGCAGGCTAGAGCATGGCAGGGAGCCCATAGCTATAAAACACCTCTCTGAGCAAGGCGCCTGGCTGTCTGAGCAACCTGTGCCATTTAACACCTCGTAAAAGATAACTGAGCCTTCCCAGGAGTTCAAAGCATTCCAACGAAGCACGAATCGGATAAACACTTTTCAAAATCCATTTTTCCCCTATGTCTCATATCTTGGAATATGAGAGACTTACATAAAAAACAGACATATCGTCAGATTGGCTAAGAGAAGACTAACAATTTGATGGGTCACTCGTCTTGTCTCGAATACATAGGAAAGCCGAAAAATAGATCTCGTGAACCGTTTAGTGTATAATTTCATAATTCATATCTAATCAATCCTCAGACGTGTCTGCATAATAATCTACCCGCGGGTGGAATGTCACTTGTGCAGATGGAAAGTTATGGGCCAAAATATGAGTTATGAGAGATTTTGGCTCTAGTTGAGGTATCCGACTTCAGAGACACCCCCTGCTGGGAAACTACAAAATAGGCTGTCATGCCTAAGAGAGTTGAAGACGTCTCCCATTTTAACACCAGCACCACCTGGGGAGACCCGTGCCTTTTCGCTCTGAAACTTGGATCTGCTAACCCAGGACTTTGGCAAGTGCCTCAACCCTTTCACCTTTCTGATATCTCTTTGGTGCACTGTTGGTCTCTGTGTATATACATCTTTTTTCTGTAAATATTGTTATTGCACCTGTTTGACCTTTTAGTAATAAATCTTTCCTTCTGAAAGTGTTGAACTGTTTCTATAGCGCTTTATTGAAATTTACGAATTCCTGCCTCTAAAGAGAACGCTGCTGTGTTTGTTTAACCCTCTGCATAATCTGCCTGCGGTGATCGTATTATGCAGACAATTATCTCAACCCATTATAGTGTTTTAGCTGATATCGCCGAGTTTCCTCTTTCTCTGTACAAAAAGAAGGTGGTGGCAGTGTGGAGGGTTAATTGTGTAATTAAACTGACCCAGTAACAATCGCGCTCAGGCTGCCGGTACATCGATTGTGGTCCAATTAGCTGGAAAATCGTTGTGCAGGGTGCAGCTGGGTGTTGCATTGTTATGCACGTGACATCGCGGTTTTAGATCGGCTAGTCCTTCGGTCACGAGTTTGGTGAGAAGGGCTGGGGTCTGACGCCACTTTCGTGACACACCATCCTATAGCCCAATATCTATTTTGCGTATCCAGACATGTCAGGGGAGCATTGTAGAGGACTCTCAGGAAGTATTATATACGTTTGAGCAGTTCTATCCAAGCTATTTATCGATCACAGGGAGGGGTTTCTGAGTCTGACATTTCCTTGTATCTCTCCTTAATTCCATTGACGGTGCTATATAAGTACCTGAAATAATAAATGCTTTTGGGCAGGATTAACTTCTTTAAGATGATCTACCTACCAACATTTCTTTATATACTCTCCAATGCTCCAATATACATTCCTAAAAGGCTCTTTAGCCATATTCATTGCTCAGTCCCTTTTTGTGGAGTTTTAAGGTACCCAGGGTGTCTCTTGAAATTTTTCACTGCCAGATCTTTGCATGTATTATTTTGCATCCCAATTGATGTATATACATTGGCGAATGTTTCCTCGACTAAATAATGCGGCAATTAAAGCAGCTGGGATTTCCTTTTATGAGGCGCTGCTCAACTTTTTTCTATGGCGGCGAGGTCCCCACCCCTAGGGGCATGACCATACTGAAGGTTTCTAAGAATATACAGAGGCTGTGCATGAATCAAATTTCGGGTGCGCCTTTGGATGTTACTCCGAATGGTCTGTTGTGGTATAACCTACGATTGGGTGAGTTTTCTAAATTGGATGAAGGTCGTAGATGGGCATCCTACGGGGTTAAATACCTCTGTCATTTATATGAGGATGGGAGGTTTAAATTTCAACAAATGCAAATTGGGGCAGACCTACCTCTTGAGGTTTTCATTATGCTTAGCTCAAACATGCTGTGTTACGACAATTTGGTGCAGCTGTGCTTTCTCTTTCTAATACTAAATTAGAAACTCTCCTTATGAAGCCGGCGCATAATAAATTGGTATCTAGCTATTATCCAGCATTGACTTTGATGGTAGACACTGCCATAGGACCAGGGAAAGATGGGGTGCTATTATACCAGAACTGACTGTGGTCATGGGTGTTTCATTCATATGTGGCTTCTGCCATTTCTTCCAAGAATAAGATGATACAACTCCGACACTTACACCAGAGATATTATACACCATTATGTTTATTCAAGATGGGCAGAAGAGACACTGCAACTTGTCATAAATGCTGGGTAGATGAGAGAGCATTCCTGCATATGGTGTGGGAATGTGCTAAAGTTTGACCATTGTGGTCGCAAGTTACACAGTTTATAGGTGTCGCCTTCAATTTTCCATATATACAGTTAGGTTCATAAATATTTGGACACAGGCACAATTTTAGTTTTTTTCAGGTATTTGCCAAAACATATTCAAGCTGTAGTTGTATAATGGATATGGGCTGAAAGTGCACACTCTCAGGTTTAATTTGAGGGTATGTACAGAAATTACAGCTCTTAAGAGCAGCCATCCCACCTTTTTCAAGAGATCAAAAGTAATTGGACAATTGAATCAAAAGCTGTTTCATGGTCAAATGTGGGCTACTCCTTCGTTATTTCTTCATCAGTTAAGCAGGTAAAAGGTCTGGAGTTGATTTGAAGTGTGGTATTTGCATTTGAAATCTATTGCTGTGAACCTACATCATTCGTTCAAAGGAGCTGTCCATGCAAGTGAAACAGGCCATTGTAAGGATTCAAAAATGAAACAAATCCATCAGAGAGATAGCAGCAACATTAGTAGTGGCCAAATCAATTTTGGTACATTCTGAGAAAAGAAGAACACACTGGTGAGCTCAGCAACATAAATAGGCATGGACGTCCATGGAAAACAACAGTCGTGGATGATCGCAGGATCCTCTCTATGGTAAAGAAAAACCCATTCACATACCAGACAATTGAAGGACACTCTCCAGGAGGTGGGCGTTGTCAAAGTCTACAATCAAGAGAAGACTTCACAAGAACAAATACAAAGGGTTCACCACAATGTGCAAACCATTCATAAGCCTGAAGAATAGAAACACCAGATTAGAAAAAACATCTAAAAAAAGCCAGAACCAGTTCTGGAAATCATTCTTTGGATGGATGAAACTAAGATGAATCTGTACTAGAGTGACGGAAAGAAAAAAGTGTGGAGAAAGCTTGGACCAGCTCATGATCCAAAGCACACAACGTCATCTGTAAAACATGGTGGAGGCAGTGTGATGGCATGCATGGCTTCCAGTGGCACTGGGTCATTGGGGTTTATTGATGATGTGGCAGAAGACAGAAGCAGCTGGATGAATTCTGCAGTGTTTAGAGATATACTGTCAGCCCACATTCAGCCAAAAGCAGCAAAGGTGATTGGATGGCGCTTCACAGTACAGAGACAGTGATCCAAAACACACTGCAAAAGCAACCCATGAGAGTTTGAAGGAAAAGAAGTGGAATATTCTGCAATGGCCAAGTCAATCACCTGATCTAAACCCAATTGAGCATGCATTTCACTTGCTGAAGTCAAAACTAAAGGCAGAAAGACCCACAAACAAAGAACTGAAGAGAGCTGCAGTTAGAGCCTGGCAAAGCATCAGAAAGGAGGAAACCCAGTCTTTGGTAATGTCCATGGGTTCCAGACTTTAGGCAGTCATTGCTTGTAAAGGATTCTCAACAAAATATTAAAAAATGAACATTTTATTTATGATTATATTAATTTGTCCAATTACATTTGAGCCCCTGAAAATGAAGGGACTGTGTATAAAAATGGTTGCAGTTCCTAAAATTTGTACTTGATATTTATGTTCAACCCCTTGAATTAAAGCTGTAAGTCTGCATTTCAAATTCATTTGGATTTTCTTTTTAATTTATTCTGGTGGCATACAGAGCCAAAAGTATAAAAATTTGTGTCTGTGTCCAAATATATATGGACCCAACTGTATGTAGCCCGCTAACCTGTCTTCTAGGGGTAATTGAGGATGATATTATGGATACTGCCACAAGAACTTTTTTTGAGATTACTATTTTTTTTATGTGCTTAAACGTATAGTGTTACATTGGACATGAACAGATGTCCTTGGCCTAGCTGCCTGGAAAAAAAAAATGGTAAATTTTAATGTCCCTGTATATGAAATGACTAGAGGATGTCCAAAATCATTTCTGCAAATATTGTCTAGATGGATGGAGTCCTCCTATACGGTGGAAGACAGCCCTGGAGAATATAATTAATGTATTGTGTAAGATGTACATGCCATCTGTCCACTGTGTAATTTGTTTATCTGGTGCACTGGTAATCAATATAACACTGTTGCTAGTTTACCGTTATGTGCTGAGAGGATTGTGGTTTACTCCAAAAAGTTTGGTTGCAAATTTTTTTTTTGGTTTTTTTTCTTTCTGTGTTTTTTTTTTTTTTTTCTCTACTAATGTAATAATCTCAAACTAATGAACCTAAAAACCAAAAATATGAACATGGTATATGTACTTATGTTGTCATTAATTATTATTATTTTTTAATGGCATGACCTTGCTGATCTCACTTGTCTGGAAACTCATATGAGCCACAATGTGCTCTGTCATGTTATGGCTGGATACTTGTAGAAATATGGCTGTTTTTTCCCCTTATCTACAATTTCTGTATTTGGTACTACTGGTATGTCTTAAGAACTGTTATGCTATGTATAAAGGTGCATATGGCAATAAAACGTCCTTATAAAAAAAAGAGGGGGGGGGATGCTACATGGTGGTAAACATGGACCTGTTCCAACTTTGAGAATTTGTTGCCATCAATTTCTAAGTTTTTTTCCTAAAAATTGTACAATTGTACAATTTCTCATTGATATGTTTTCCATTTTCTACTGTGAATAAAATATGGGTTATTGAGATTTGCAATACATTTTATGTAGATTTTACACAGCATGCTAACTTTTTTGAAATTGGGATTGTATTATATCTACCTTTTATTGTTAATTATTTTAGCTTTTTTTGTCTACTTTTTGCTTCCTTCTATCATTAGGTTAAATTGCATCAGGCAGCGATGGAACTACAGCTTACCCCATTTAATGTGTTTCTACGTGCTACTTTGAATTTGTTGCAGGAGAAGGACCCAGCTAACATCTTTAAAGAACCTGTAAATCTAAAGGAAGTAAGCTGTCCATTCTTTTTTAATTGTAAGGTTCAGTGTATTTACAGTTGTTAAATATATTACTTATTCACCAGGTGCCAGACTACATGGATTTTGTATTACGCCCCATGGACTTTTCCACAATGCGGCACAAGCTGGAATGCCACCAGTACTCATCTTTTCCAGCTTTTGAAGATGATTTCAACCTGATCATCTCTAACTGCTTGCGTTACAATTCTCGGGAGACTGTGTTCCATCAAGCTGCATTGCGACTTCACCAGCTAGGTACAGCAGTACTTCATCATGCTAGACGGCAGGCAGAAAGCATTGGTTATGACCCACATACCTTGATGCACCTACCTGAGAAGCTCCATGCTGATGACTACTATCGATTCTCATGGGAAGAAGGTGAGATCTCTTTGCTCCACAATAAAATGGGATATGGTA